CCCCAAAACCCCAAAACCCCAAAACCCCATTAAACTAGATTTTTGTTGAAATTGTTATTAGATATTTGATAAAATATTCGGATATAACCCTAGTGATGATCAGAACTGGTTTCTGCCTACTAGAGCTTCGATCGATTACATGCATGGATTGAACAACGAGAACACTAAGATTACGCGCCATGCAGTAAACCTGTCCAAGATCAGATACATTCCAGAGAAAGTTCCGAAGGAGATTTAACAGGAACAATGTCTTAAAGACATTGATCTGTCATGAAAAGATCTTCTCAAGGTTCCTTGATCCCTCCCGGAAGCTTATCTCAGTGGACTATATGCTTAATGTCCTTAATGCAGCCTCTGTAGGAGCCATCGGCATGTTTCTGAAGTGAATGGAAAGAATCGACACTCTTTTGTTCAAGAAACCATCTAAGATTAAAGGTATGATTAGGAAGAACTACCTAGATGAGTACTGTATTGAGAAAGGACTTGAGAATGAAGATATGAGACGGCAACTCAAGTGATCACTGAATAAAACTCTCAAGTATCAGTGGATCAAGAGTGAAAAATCTAAGGATGATGGAGGTATTTCAGACTGAAGTTTGAGCGATAGTGATAAGGAAAATGACCCAAAAAATGGAATAAAAGAGAATAAAAAATCCAAACACAAGCTTTGGGAAAAATCTATTTTAATCACAATCGATTGGGTATATGGACTGGATAAATATTACTCTGAAGCCAATCATAAAAATGCTCCAATTTTGTCCAAAGAAAAATTTGAAATGCACCTTGCTAAAGCCAGATTTATTATTAACTTCCCAGAACAATGGCTCGGATACATCACAAAGGGTTGTGGAACTGTCCCTTATGAGAAATATGCAGATTTCGATGGTTTCAATCTCCACTCCATCGAAAAAGGTCCTAAATTCGACGAAATTTCTCGCTTTATTAAAAAGTACCCTTCTGCTACTACTTACGCTCCAAGTAGGTACACTGGCTCTCTACAGCACACCGATCGAGATATGTCATACTCTCATCAGAACCTGGAGTCAGAGACTTCAAAGTCAAAGAAGAAGAGGAGGAAGAAGTCAGATACCTCTAAATCTCCAAAGAAATACAAAAAGTTCAAATCTGGAATATAACTAAGGGGTTTTGGGGTTTTGGGGTTTTGGGG